ATAAAACAAAGATTTCCTCTTTAATTAGTGGTTAGAAAAAAAATTAGCGGTTACAAGAACACCCTCCCTCCACAAGGAAAGACTTTGCTTATCTAAGAAGTTTCATCCACTTTCTGAGGCTTCTCTCCCACTCCCTACACCCCTGCCCCGCCCCAATCAAAATGACCCCATGCTAAGGAAACCTTGGCTTAAGATCATAAAATAAGTTGTGGTCTTGCTTCTGAACCACTGTCAGCCAGCTTGCACTCCCCTCAGGGGCAGAGGTGATGCCAGGTCCCCAACCACTGCTCTCCCTCCCAGTACAGAGCCTGATGAGGGATGGGTTTGGAACACTTTACCCAGGTACAACAGCAGCTGGCAAATATTCTAAAACTCTCTCTCTGACCCTAAACTTGCCACCTTCCCATGCAGAGCCCCCCTAACTGGAAGAGATGGGATGCAGGAATTGAGGCCACAGTGGTTTTCTCCGTTCAGTCAAGGTTCCCCACCACTCCAACGCCCCTCTCCTCCACACAGTATATTCTGTAACACATTTGGCCTCAGGCCAAACCCCTAACAGTTATGAGCTCCTTGCCCCCCAAATAACGTCACCCACTAACCAGGCGTCTGATGGCACTCAAAGACAGACTGAGGGTTACGACCAAGCCTTGCCAGCAGGGTTAAGTAAAGGAGAGGGAGGAAGCAGCAATCAAGCAGACCCTTAACAAGAAACAAGAAGCATCTGAACTCATCTAGAGTAAGGTGGCTGCAGATGAGCACTGCTTTGCAGATGTGGCACAGAGAATCAAAGGATCTGGGTTAGAATTCCAGCTCCAACACATGCTGTGTGAACATGGGCCAATCACTGAACCTGAGATTAGAGGAAGGGCAGGTTGGTCTAGAAAACCTTTGAGGTCCTTGAAAGTGCTTAACCCAGGGTGTCTCTGTTTAGAAGCAAATACAGAGTGAACAAAGAAATAGAGAGCAATTTCCAGGAGACAGGTAGGTGATGTCCTTGTTTGGAACTCGTGCTTTCCGTCCATCCTGTGTGGCACGGTGGGAGGAGGGGGTCTTTGGACTCGGGGTCAGGAAGCCCTGGATTCAAATGTCACCTCCCTCACTAGCTGTGCGACCCTGGGCCAACTTCTCCGTGCCTCAGGTGTCCTCATGGGCAAAAGAAGGGCACTGAACTTGGCCTTTGGGGTCCCTTCCAGTCTTAAATCTGTGAAACCAGGACTACTACGCAGTTCTAAGTCAATGCAAGCACACGTCCTACAGCCTAAAGTGGCAGTAATAACAACAATACGTAACATTTTGTGCAGGAAAGGGATTCTTGCAGGGCCAGATTTCTGGGAGGTCTGTGACTTTGTGATTTTCTACTCTTTGATTTTTACATGTCTATGGAATCGGTCCTCTCCTATGCCTGTGCAGTTGGCTTTCTGCGTGTCAATCACCACGCTGAGAAAAGAGGTTCGCAGGCTTCCCCAGACTGCCCGAGAGATCAGTGCACATGGAAACGGATGAGAGGCCCTGCTCCTGAGACCCGGGGCTGGGAAGGTATCCCAGCAGCCCTGTGGGCACCCGGCCCCTGCTCCACTCAAGCCTGCCTGTCACTAGTGACTTGCCCAGCGATCAAGGCTTGTCTCAGGCAGGAAGGGAAGACTGAGAGGAAGAGTTCAAGTCTTTCAACCGACACGCATTGCCTAAGGAGCTAGAAAGCTGCCACGCAGCTGAAGAAAGGGGCTCCTTCTTGGGGCTCGTGACCAGAAACGGCGAGCCAGAGCCTGCGGCCCCAACACCACCCCCTCTGCTCCCCCATCCATAAAACGGGAGCAGCCTGGCTCGCTCCCTCGCTCCCAGCGTGGGCTGAGGGAAGAGTCGGGCCTCGATCCTACACTGGGCAACCAATCCGACCCCCTTGTTTTACAGGTGAGGAAACAGAGGGCGCAAAGGCCTGCCTCAGTGTCCCGGTCTGCAAATAGTCTCTTACGGCCCTCACGCGGTCATCGGGTGAGGCCGAGGGCCGCCGGGGTAGACGCGCTTCCGCGAGGCCGGCCCCCCTGCGGGGAGAGGGGAGCCGCCCCCAGAGAGGAGGAGGAGGCGGCCTCACCTAGCCTGCTCCACTTGGCCCGGCCCGCCTCGCCCCGTGTAGCGAGGCCCTCGACTCTGTTGAAGACCACGCCGCCGCCTCAGTAGACGGGGCCTGAGGCACGAAGCAAGGATTTTCAAAGCAGAAGGCGTGGCCGATAGCGGGAAAGGCAGACCGGGCCTCCTATTGGCTCTCCTGGGTGACAATCAACGCCGATCCGAGGCGATGTCAACGCCTTTGCTTCCGCTTTTGGACCTAGAGACACCCCTGAGGGGAGGGGCGGCAGCCAAATGCTCTGAGGGGCGGGGAAAGACCAAAAGTCCCGGCGTGCCTTGCGGTGGCACCGCCCCCCCCCCCGTTCATTAACACTTAGGTACCTGGCTTTGATTGACTTCTCTAGGTCTGTGTTGCAGCTCTCTCCCTTAGACGTAAACTTCCTGAGGGCAGGCACTGTTTCTCTCTTTTGATCACGGAAACCTCAAAAGATATCTGGCGGTTTACAGGCTAGATTTCTTTTGTAAGGACCATGTCTTAAACCCAAGTCACGCTGCCTCTCATTGATTGGCCACGGAGAGGTCCCAGGCTAAGCCCTGTCTAGTCATTGTGTGGGCCCGGATTGGCTCATAGTGAATGTAGACAGCAGCTGTTTGTATTGTGGCCAGAAACCCTGAGAGTCTTCCCCTCCCAGAGGATTGGTTGGTTTGTTTGTTTTCCTGACTGGTAAAACAGGCCATTCCTTTCCTTATTTCTACTTACCTAGCCTTAAGCACTGAATGGGCATTGCCTCAGTCAAACTGAGACCTGGGAAAGACCTTAGCTGAAAAAGGCCAAGGTCTCCCACTGCAGCTGGGGTCATCTCCAGACATCCTGATCTATATCTGGCCACTGGACCCAGATACTCCAGAGGAGAAAGTGAGGGCGGTCACTTTGCACAGCCCTCCCTCACTTAAATCCCATTCACTTGCAAGTCCTGGCATCACTTCCCTGATGTCATGGTCCTCTTCAAGAAAAAAGGACAAACGACAATTTGCAGGATGTTTGTCTCTACCTAGTTTCTGCCAAACTATTTTTGAGTTTTCCCAGCAATTTTTGTCAGAGAGGGAGTTGTGGTCCCAGTAGTCTGAGTCTTTGGGTTTATGCAACACCAGATTACTGTGGTCCTTTACTACTGTGTATTGTGTACCTAATCCAATATTCTCTTTCTTAGCCACTACCCAACTGTTTTGATAATTATGGCTTTATGATAGTTTGAGATCTGGTAAGGTTAGGCTACCTTCCTTCATGGTTTTTTTTTTCCTTCATTGATTCCCTTGGTATTTTTGACCTTCTGTTTCTCCACATGAATTTGTTTTTTATATATCTTTTTAGCTCTATAAAATAATTGTTTGGTAGTTGATTGGTCTGGCACTGAATAGATTAATTTAGGCAGCATTGCCATTTTTATTATATTGGTTCCATCTACCCATGAGCAATATTTTTCCAATTGTTTAGATCTGACTTTATTGTGTGAAATGTGTTTTGTGATTGTATTCATATACAATCAGTTTGTACTCATATTCAAATGGGTTTGTCTTGGCAAGTAGATTTTATATTTTATATCATTTACAGTTATTTTCAATGGAATTACTTTTTATTTCTTGCTGCTGGATTTTGTTTGGTAATATATAGAAATGCTAATGATTTATGCATTTCACTACATCTGGATGAACTAGATGGACAACCATGAAGAAATCCCACAGCACCGACCCCCCATCCACTTGGTAACCTAATAATGTTAGAAAGTCCCCAACCCTTATATAAGGACATAGTAAAACAGATGGTCTCATCTATTATTGTAACACCAACTTGTTGTCTTTGGATCACAGACCCTACAGTTCTCTAAAAGGACTACTTTTACAATTGTGTCCTGCTTTTACAATTCTCCTTGTGTCCTGGTCTTAAGCAGGGAATGTTTTCTTACTGATAATAAATCCTGCCAGTTTCATTCCAAGTACTCCCCTTTCTCCCTTGGCTGACCCCCCCCCTTGATCCATCCCTCCCTCTCCTGGGAAATGCGTTATTTATGCACCCTAAATTACCACAGAAGGCTGCTGATTGCCTATATACTCTAAGACGGCCTGAAAGGTTACCCCCAGGAAGCTGAATGTGCTGTTAGCCAGAGCCAATTCCTTAGCTGGCCTCCTATCCTTGACCCTCAGTCATGGGACGCTAAAAGCTCCCAAGCAGTGGAGAGAATTCCTCAACATAATGATTCCCTGAGCAGTTAGTAATGGTACACTGTGGGCAGGACCTGGCTTTCCATTCCTGCACTCTATGCATGGTCCTGATGGGGACTCAGATCCCCAAATTTAACTTCATTGGGACTTGCCCCTTTGATTCTGCAATCTCAGGGACACTTTGAGCAAGACTCAAAAGGTCCAGTTACACTCTCAGGTCTTGGATCCTTGCAAATTCCCCAACCCCCTTCCTTGGAATACTAATAGCTAATTAGTGTTGGGGGTTTTCTAACAAGCCTCTAATTCCCTCTCTCTGTGTCATTAAGTGAACACTATGTTTGTATTGTATTTGTCCTGTCAGTTTGTCTGTCAGTGTGTCTCTGTGTCTGTACCTTGTAAGATATAAAATGCAGGTAGCCAGAGACTTCGAAAGACTGCAGCCAGGAAAACAACAAACCTGTAAAACTCCTTTCCATGTGGGTCCAGGCCTGACCAGCCTAGACCTAGAGTTAAAAATTAGATACAAGTAAAGACATCTTAACAGATTCTGGAGGTTCTGAGATTAATCATTAAGAAGTTTACGTCTACGGGACAGCTACAACATAGGCCTGGAGAAGTTAATAAAAGCCCGGTAACTAAGTGTTAAGGAACAGGGGAGGGGGGGAGGGGGGCGGTGCCACCGCGAGGCACGCCGGGACTTTTGGTCTTCCCCCGCCTCTCAGAGCATTTGGCCGCCGCCCCTCCCCTCCGGGGTGCCTCCAGGACCAAAAGTGGAAAGCAAGGCGTTGACCTCGCCTCGGATCGGCGTTGATTGTCACCCAGGAGGGCCAATAAGCGGCCCGGTCTGCCTTTCCCGCTATCGGCCACGCCTTCTGTTTTCAAAATCCTGGCTTCCCGCCTCAGACCTCGTCTACTGAAGCGGCGGCGTCGTCTTCCCCGGAGTCGAGGACCTCGAGACGCGGGGCGAGGCAGGCTGGGCGTGTTGGAGCAAGCTAGGTGAGGCCCCCGCCGCGTCCTCGTCCTCTCCGGGGGGGTTCCTCTTCTCCCCGTAGGGGGGGCCAGCCTCGTGGAGGCGCGTCTACCCCGGCGGGCCCTTGGCCTCACCGGACGACGACCTGAGGGCTGTAAGAGATCTTTTGCAGACGGGGAAACTGAGGCAGGCCTTTGCGCCCTATGTTTCCTCACCTGTAAAACGAGGGGGTCGGATTGGTCGCTCAGTGTTGGTGGCTGGCAGTCAAAGGAGGAGCGACTGGCTGAGGAGGAGGCCAGGGAGAAAGCTAAGAAGCTGGAGGAGGCGGAAGAGGCTTCAGCAGGGAAGTGGAGCAGGATGGGGGCATCCCAGGGGGGAGAGATGGAGGCCCAAGGAGGCAGGAGCAGAGCTGCCCATCGTCAGTTCCTTAGGCCTCACTGGATGAGGGCTGAGACACACCCCTTCCTTGTGGGGCAGCTAGCTGTAGGGTCCAGTATGCTGGGCCTTGAGTCAGGAGGACCAAAATTCAGATCCAGCCTCAAGACTTAGTAGCTGTGCAACCCTAGGCAAGTCACTTAACTGCTGCCTGCCTCAGTTTCCTCTTTTGTAAAATTCTATTTGCCTCCCAGAATTCTTGGTAAGGAACAGATGAGGTGACCCAAGCCACGCATCATGAAAAAGAAAAGGTCAGGGCGGGGGGCACTAAAAGAGAGAGATTCCTTGAGTGACAGGAAGAGGTGGCTTCTTTCTGGGATGAGTGCTCTCCCTCACTGGCCTGTTTCTTTCTGGTGGGCTAAGCCTAATTGTTCTTTAGCCCAGAACTTAGTTCCGCAGTCAAACACATGGGCAGTTTGGACATTTGGGTTGAACAAGGATGGCTCCTGTACAGTCATTAATTTAGAGCTGGAAGGGGCCAAGGGTTTTGCTCTGCTGTGCCCGCTTCACCCCCAACCTCACCTGGCCTGCCTGAATGGTCTCCCTCTCTTTCCCAGCTCCAGGAGGAGGAAAAGTGGAGGTGCCAGGAACAGCTGCGAAGGAAGAAGAGGAGCGTCTGTGGAAGGTGGCTGAGGCCCGGAGAATCATGGAGCAGGAGAAGCAGCAGCTGGCCCTTGAGAGGGAGCCCGAGAAGCTGCAGGAAAAGTGGTGAGGGCCTGCCCACTGGTCATGCCTTCTCTGCCTGTGTGTGTATGTGTGTGTGTGTGTGAGAGAGAGAGAGGCTGTGAGATTGTGAATGTGTGTCACAGGGATTGGGTGTATATGTCACTGTGAGAGACTGAGTGTGAATGAGATCCCAGCAGACCCCGGCCCGACTCCAGGGGCTTTGCCAAGCTGTGCTTGGGCAGCAGGGCAAGTGGGCGATGTTCCAGAATGCAGGTGAGATCTAGGCTCACGTCTTGGCTCTATCATTTACTCTCAGTGTGGCCTTAAGCCCATCCCTTCCCCACTCCAAGACTCGGTTTCTTTTCCTGAAAAGTGGGGGTGATAATTGGACACTGTCATGAGACTCGCCCACGGCCTCGGGGGAGCCCGAGGTTGTGGTGGTGTTGCTGGTAGCGTAGGTCTGTGGAGACGATGGGTTTTCAGGTCAGGGAGCAGTTGGGGTCAGGGAGGATCCACACGATTCTCCAGACAGACCCTGTTCTGCTCCATTTTTCCTGCACTGTTCTGGGCCCAGCTCATCTTATCTAGGACTCAAGTGAGCATCTTGATCCCTCACACTCAGCCTAGAGCAGATCAGTTACTAAGTCAAGGCCTTTTCCCTTTATCCATGTATATACCCATTGGGGTGACCAACTGTGTGGGATAATGGGGGCAGGATGTATTCTTCATCTACTCTGTTTTCCAGTGTAGGCAGCTAGGCCCATCTCCTTCACTGTTTTAAAGTCTCACAATGCTTTTAAGAGGCCTGCATTTGCAGGTATTATCCTCATCTTGCAGATAAGAAAACTGAGGCTTAGAGGAGTTAAGAGACTTGCTTATAACACAAATAGTAATTGTTGGCAGAAGGATTCAAGCCCAAGGAAGTGTTTATTTTTATTTATGTATTTTAAAAATAAGTTTTAGTAATGTCTTTGAGAGACATGCTCCCTTTCCTCCTCCCACTGAATTCTTCCTTGTGTAAAGGAAAGATAAGCTGCAACACTGTGCCCTCCACCTCCCTACAGCCAAGGGCACGAGTCCTGGGAACAAGGGATCATGTGACTCTTCAGTCCACATTGTCCTTTCCTTCCACTTTTCAGCTGACGCTTTCTGTCATCAGGCCTGGTCTTCTCCTGGGTCTCCTTCTGTCGGTACCAGGTCAAAGGAGTCTTCCTGAATGTCTCACTGGTTATTTCTGGCTGCATGATAATATTCTATTCCATGCATAGATCACAATTTGATTGGCCCTTCCCCCATCAGCTTGCTCCTTCTTTCGTAGAGATACTTCCACCATGTCAGTGTGGTTCCAGCCTCTCCCCCTTGTAGATGTGGCCTCTCTGTAGTGTGGCTGAGAGCCCTTTCATTCATGCCGTGTGGCCCCATCTACACTGGGTGGGGCAGTTTCCACACCAGGTTCCCTGCTCTGATGAAATTGCTGGTCCAGATAAGAAATTCCATCCATATACTTATGCATCTCTTACATTAATCATTTCGTTTAGTTTCAAAGCACTTACGTCAGGGTCTCATTTGGTCTCTGCACCATCTCTGTAGGGTCTTCCAAGTGCCTGAGCCCAGGGGCCTGTTCAGAGGCCTTAAAGAGGGAGGAGCGCTCTGGTGGGAGGCAGTGCCAGTTCCCAGCTCCTTCACCAGATGTCCCAGCTTGGGATAACTGATGGCACTGTGGTACTGGAGAGAAACACAAGGGCTCAGACACCTACCTTCCACCTTTCCTCTGCCAGAAGAATGTTTGAGAACGTTCTTGGAATAGATACAACAGAAAATACATTTCACTGAGCATTTATTAAGTGCCTACTATGTACATGCCACTGTTTCTAGGTACTGGGGCTACAAAGACAGAAACAAACCACGTCTTGCCCTCTGGAAGCTTACATTCTACTGGCTTCCTTTGATGTTTCTCCTTTTTGCAAATCCTCTGTCCAGTTGCCACCAGCAGCTATAGAGTGATGTGTTAAGCCCTGGGGATAGTGGCAGGGTGGGATTTGGGTGAGGGTCAGCCCTCTGGCCCCCCTTCCTGCTGGTGACTAATGAGGTTGGGTGTTTGGTTTTCAGGGAGCTGCAAGAGAAGAAGAGATTACTGTGGGAACTGGAGAAGAGGAAGAAGGTGAGGCACTGGGTGGGGATGGCCCTTAGTCTCCTCATCTGTGCACAGACGGGTCCTTGGGCGTGGCTACAGCCGTCCCCCTTCTCTCCATGGCCCATTCTGAGGCTGCTGCCCCTGGTCTCTTGGGCTTTTTCTGGGAACCGGGCACAGGGTGGGGGGCAGGTGGGTTTCCAGGACTCACTCGTGTGCTGCATTGGCCCCAGGAGGAGTGTCACCATCAACAGCAAGAGCCAAAGAAGCTGCAGGAGGAGCAGGAGAAGGCCAAGGATGCTGCAGCTGCTGCCTGGGTCAGTAACAAATGCTGGAATGTAAAGGTGGATGTGCAGGTGAGGCCCCACCTGTGGCTCCCTGCCCGCCCCCTTCTCACCTGGCAAGGCCATACAGGTGCTAGGAGGTGTGACCTGCCCAGAGCTGTAGAAAGGCAGGCTCCCAGGAGGCTCTTAGGCCACTAGCCAAGCCCACCCTGGCTCCTTTTCCAGTGCTGGGGCAAATGGTCATTCAGCCTCCCAGGGTCGGGAAGCCCATTACTTGCTAAGGCAGCCTGTTGTGTTTTTGGACAGCTCTGAGTGTCAGGAGGTGCCCAGAGTGACCTCTTTGTGGCTTCTCCCCATTGCCATTGCTTCTGCCCACCCTGCATGGACAGGAAGAGACAGACCCAGTGTGTTGCCCCTTAGCCTTCTCTCCTCCTGGCTCAGTGGTCCCAAGTCCTCTGGCATTGGATTGCCCTTTTCTGGGACTGTCCAGCTTCTGGTTGTAGCCTGAGCCTAGGAGGGGGGCAGAGACCAGAGGGCACCAGTGCTTCCTCCTTCTTTTCGGAATCCCTGCCCACCTGCCTGTCTTGGGGCATTAGCAGCTCTCTCTCTCTCCCTGGCTTTCTGGAATGCCATGGTCACTCGGGTGACCCACACTGAGCTTCCAGTCCCCTAAAAGCCCTGGGTCCTTCTCACATGAGCTACCGTCTAGCCACGCCTACCCCCCTTACAAAGTTGGATTGTTTGGGGGCTGGCGTGGTGAATGCCATGTGATGGCTATAGCCCAAGGCTATGTTTGAGACCAGTGGGGGCTAATGACAAAACAGTGAGAGAACACTGGACTGGGCTTCAGCTATCAGCATGGAGCATTAGCTGTGTGATCTCATAGCTTCTTTGGTCCCCAAGGTTCTCTTCTGCAAAATGGGGTAGGGAGATGGACTTAATGACCCCTGAGGTCCCCTCTAGCTCTAAAACTCTGAACCTCCCCACTATTCTGTGACCTCAGAGTCTCCCTTCTGGACCAGCCACCAGATGGACCAAGCCCTGCTTGGTCACTTCAGCCTAGGCCATGCCTCAGCTCTGTCTGCAAGCAGTGGCCAGGACCAGACTCCAGTTTCTGTACCATTTACTGACGTTTAGCTTTTTTCAGTCAGCAGAAGGTCAAGGCCAAAAGCTCCCGGCCTCTCAGAAGTGTCCTCAAAGGTTTACCTAATGATAGAGGGCTACTCGCATCAAGAGGAGGCTGTCTCCATCTTCTTTCCCCTTTATCCTCAGCGATCGGGTACTTGGTCCAGCAAGAGTTGACAGTGCCCCACTAGCCCCGTGAGGGCCAGCTTATCGAGGAGAGGTCCACACATTCCCAGAAAATGTGCCTTCGGGCTCTGCTGGGCACGAGACAGACTCCTCACAAACCGTGACTTCTGTTGACGTCATCATCTCTATAGACATTCTCTCCTCTGAGACTCCCAGCAACCTTGTGTTAGGAGCCAGAGTGTGAATTATCCATACTTAACAGGTTAAGCAACTGAGCCTCAGAGAGGTGGACACATATCCTCAGTCTTAGTCCTGGCCTGTGGCCACTGTGCACTTCAGTCTTCCTCATCAGTCTGGGTGGTGGGGGAAGGGTTTAGACTGGATCATTTCAGAAGGTCCTTCCAGCTCTGGCAGCCCAAGGTGCCCTTCAGTATGTCAAGAAGAGATAAAAAAGTCTCCTTCCTTCTTCAGAATCTAGTTTGCAGCTCTTATGAAATGACCCCACAGGACCCTGCAGGAGGCCCCAAGAACAGCTATGATAACTATGGCATGGATCTTCATAGTGATGACTCCACAGATGATGAGAACCAGCCCCGAAAGCCTACTCCTGCTTGGGCCAGCGGTAAGTGTAGACTCCCATCTCTTAAACAGTTAGAAATGTCTTCCCTGTTAAATTGGACTATAGTATACTAAAGGAGAGCAATGTCTAACAAGGGTAGAAAGTAGGCTGGGAGCAAGTTGTGAAGCTTGGCCTTTAAATGCCAACAGAAGTTTCTATTTGACCTAGAGGCTAAGTAGGGGAGGGATGTGCCCTGTTGGGCTTTAGAAAAATCCCTTTGAGGGGCAGCTAGGTGGCACAGTGGATACAGCACCGACCCTGGAGTCAGGAGGACCTAGGTTCCAATGCGGACTCAGACCAGACACTTGACACTTACTAGCTGTGTGACCCTGGGCAAATCACTTAACCCCAACTGCCTCACTAAAAAAGAAAAAAAAAAGAAAGAAAGAAAGAAAAGAAAAATCCCTTTGTAGTCTTGTGGAGGATGGGTGGTGGTGGGGAAAGGCTGGAGGCAGGGAGACCAATTGGGAGGGCACTGTGCTAATGCAGGTGAGGCCACGAGGGCCTGCATGAACTAGAGTGGCATGGCAGGACCTATGTCAGATAAGGTGGAAATAGGAAGTAAAAACTTTGGCTACTGATGGATCATGTGGGATGAGAGGGAGTGAGGAGTTGGTAACACTGAGATTGTGAGCAAAGTAGGCAGTACCCTCAGCAGTAAGGGGGAAGTGTGGACGAGGGGAGAGGGAAAGAATTCTGGACATTGGATATTCCGAGTTTGAGATGTCTGTGGGATATCCTGTTTGAAATATCTGGTGTGCAATTGGTGATTTGGGGCTGGCACTGAGGAGAGAGGTGATGGCTGGGTACATGCTATGTAGACATGGTAGTTGAACTCATGAAAGCTGATGACGTCACCAAATGAGATCATATGGAGAGAACAGGGAAGAGGGCCCAGGATATAGCCCTGGGGGATACTCATGGTTAGGGGGCACGATCTGGAAGTAGACTCAACAAAGAAAGCTGAGACAGAGAACCAGGAAAGGAGAAGGCACCTAGTAGTGCTATCAGCAACAGAGAGATGAAGAAAGGTAAAGGTCAGGGAAGGATTGTTTGGTTTGGTAGTTAGGACACTGCTGGCCATATTGCAAGAACTGAGGAGAGGAAGGGGGGCAGTGAGAGTCTGTCTTTTTAAAGGAGTTTGGCAGAGAGAGGGGAAGGGGAAGAGAGGTGTAGCAGGGCAGGCTCTCCTAAGGCGTCTTCAGGGATAAGGGAGACAAGGGAAGCAGCCCCACTGGAGAGGGAAACAGAAAAGATTAGAGAGAAAGAGTTGGGATTAAGGCAGCTGGAGAGGACTTGGCCTTGCTGAGCAGAAGGACCACCTCCTCATGGAGATGGGAAAAAAGGAGAAGCTGGGGCCTGAGGTCAGAGGCCTCAGAAGGGGAGAAGGGTAACTTTGTGGGGAGGAGGAGGAGGAGGAAGGTTCTTAGCTGTCAGGGCTCATGGTACCAGGGGTGATGGGAGGCTTGAGGAGAGAAGGGAAGGTTTGGAATAGCCTTGAGGGGGCAGTCATCAGTACCTGGGTGGCATCTCCCTGTGAGCCTCCTGCTCTGGCATGACCTCTGTCTCTTGCCCCAGGGTCCCAGCTCAGCCAGGCCATCATCCGTCAGTACTACATGTCTCCTGACATCGACCAGCTCTTTGGGACCATCCCCAGTCAAAGGCTGGAGGACATATTCGACAAGAGTGAACTGCATTAGCACAGGCGCACCGGCTCGGTTGACTGGCATTCCCCGCTGCTGCCGGGGCCCAGCTACTTGTAGGCATGTCCTATGGCCTGAAGAAGCCGTGAGGAGGGTTGGCAAGGTCCCTCGTGGCTCTCACATGAATTCAGAATGACTGTGCATGTGTTTAAGAATTGAAGTTGTTTTAGTGTAGGCAAACACAAAGGCGAGTTTGGAGCCAAAGGCCTTTCTAGAGCTGCAGTGGGAGCCAGGCCTGGGGGCAGCATAGACCGAGACCCCAAGAAGCTGCGAGCGAGCTTGAGGGCCAGCAGCGCTTGAAGCACCCACACAATGAGCTGGCAGCCCCCCTACCTATACAGAAGTGCTAGGTAGCTAGTTTGAGGCTGATGTTGGGCTCCAGAGTTTTGAGGGTAGACTAATAAAATGTTTTTCTTGGCATGATGTGGAGTTCTTGCTGTTGGGGAGGTTCTTGGTTCTTGCTCAAGGAGCTGTGAAGCCTGGCCTGGGCCAGCAGCAGTGCCAAGGGTGGGCTGGTAGGGGAGATGGAGTCGTGGGCCTGAGGCATCAGAGTTCGGCGGGTACCTGGACTGGCACTGCGGTGACACGGCTGACCCCCAGGAGCAGGCAAGGAACAACAGAAGGTTCTGAGATGCCCATCCACCCTGATGGCCCATGTTCCAAGGATCTCTCGCTCTACCTTTCCCTCCCAGCCCTGACAGTCCATGTCCTATATTCTGACGCCCCTCCCAGCTCAGACTTTCCAAGTTCTCTCCCTCCCAGTTTGGGCCACTTGTGAGTCTGAGGGGCCCAGAATTGGCCGAGGGGCAGATGGGCAGCCAGGGTTCAGTGGGAATTGTTCAGAAACTCTTCTAATTTAGTCAAGAGTGTGGATCAAATGGGGGCCCATCTCCAGCTGCATCATCTAAACTTGGAAATGTTTGTGCCCTGCTGGGGGAAGAGTAATAATACCAATATCAATGATATAACAATAATAGCTCTAGTCCTTATGTCTCTCTAAGGTTTGCAAAGCACTTTGTAAAGGTTGTCTTTTATCCTCTCAACATTGGGAGGTAAGTGTTGTTATTATCCCCATTTTTCAGATGGGAAAACAAGTCAGGCAGCAGCTAAGTGAGTTGCCCAGGGCCACATGCAGCCAGTAGGTGTCTGAGGCAGTACTGGAACTGGAGTCTTCTTGACTTAAAGCCCAGCACTCTTCATCTGGCTGCAGATACCTACTCTCTGTGTGACCCTGGCCAAGTCACTGAAGTGTTGTTGGCCTCAGTTTGCTCATCTGTAAAACGAGCTACAGAAAGCAATGTCTAACTGCTTTCAGTATCTCTGCCAAGAAAACCCCAAATGGGATCATGGAGAGTCAGACATGACTGAAAACAACGTATTATTTTAGGGTGATGATGGAGTGCTTCGTGCATTTGTGAGAACAACTATTCCCATTTTAGGATGAGAAAAATGAGGCCCTGATTCTCATCACCACCTCAAGGTCCAGAAGTGGAGCTGGAGCTTGAACCTGTGTGCCTTCTGACCCCAGAATCAGGGTTCTCAGTATGAGAAGAGCTAGTGTTGCCATCACCTCTCATCTGAGCTAAAAATGCCTATGGTAAAGAAAGTTTACCTTTACAGGTAAAGAAAGAGGGCAGCTAATCTTAACTCCAACTCCATCTGGCCTTGCAGCCCTTGTCTCGGCATTTATTTCCCTTTGGGAGGTTATTTTCACTTTCCAAAATAAATTCAGACAGGGGCAGCTAGGTGGTTCAGTGAAGAGAGCACCGGTCCTGGAGACAGAAGGACCTGAGTTCAAATCCAGTCTTAGACCAGACACTTGACCAGACCCAGCTCTGCTGGGCTTGCATGGGTTCATTTGTATGATCTGGCAACTGAAAATTTCTTTCTTTCCCTTTTTTATTTAGTTATTGTGAGAAATCACTCAGGGGAGGGATTCACTCCAGAATTAGGTAGACTGCATTTTCACCGTATATGTCCCAGGTTCTGCCAGAAGTCAAACAGAGGAAGGAAGACTATGGTCTTAATTAGCTTTGAAGGATCAAAAATCAAGCAACTGTACCAATAGATGACCTCATTTCACTCCATAACTGGGAAGATCTGTAGCGTTAACTGTGTGAAGTTAGGCAAATACCCTTTTGACAAATATATTCAGTGTTTTGAAGACCCTCCCAACTCTGCCTGTCTGCATGCTGAGGACCCTTCTAGTGTGGCCAGTGTATGTAGTCAGAGGTCCCCTTGAAGCAGTGATGTTCTGGGTTCCAATGTCCCTTTCAGCTCTGGAATTCTGTCATGATAATATGATCTGCTTCAATCTCTGATGTTTTCTGTTCCAGGGTCACGTCTAGCTCTGACATTCCACAAAATTTGCTACTTATTTAACAAATATCCTTCATAGCTACGACCAGCCATTTTCTTGGATATATTTCCTCCCAGTTTTGTACTTGTCAGCGGGTACATTTACACTTTGCCTGGTGCGTGGTGGCTGGGCATGGTTGCTTGCTCATTTCTTTGATTATCCTCTGACATGGCTATCCCTCTCTCATCCATGAAGAAGAGCATGGTCATTGATCTCCCCAGCTTCTCAGGGCATGGGTGACCTGGGAGACAGTGTTTTGCTGACCCACAATCCTCCACCAGCTACCTCCTATATTTATTGAGGGGGCTGAATCTCAGGGGTACAAGGTATGCACAAAGAGATGGATAGACTGCCATGGACACTTGTCCAGTTCCACTTCTTCCTCTATGCCTGTGTGGCACCTGCAATGGTTTCAGTCAGATAAGCCACCTGGAGCCCAAAAGAATACTGAGGTACTCTTGCCTGGGGTGCTTTTGGGGGCTTGGGTAGGTAAAACAAACCCAGTAGGGCCCGTGGTGGGGTGGGGGCAGTTAGCCGAACCAGGATGGGCAGACCTGAGGGCGGCTCCTGGGGTCTCGGCGGGGGGCCGCTGTGGAGGGGGCTGGAACTGCCTCGCCAGGTGGCCAAAGGCTCAGACCTCACAAAGGCCATGGCTGACTTCACAGACCATCAGCTCTGCTCCGCCCATGGTTGCCTGAGTATCTCTGGTGGCCCAGAGTTCAAATCTGGCAGTTTGTGAGATTGCAGGAGAGCAGATTCAGGGGCCACGCTACACCTGCCTCAAGACCTCGAAGTTAACTCTGATATAGTTTAATGGTCCCCAAGTGGTAGTTATCTGACCATCGTTTTCACCCCTTCAGGTTTGGAGGGAAGCCGGTCGGCTGGAGCGGGGAACACCTCTGATCGTGAAGAAGCTGTAGACAGCCCCAGGGGCTTCACTGCAGGCTTTCAAGTCAGATCACTGGCTAGAAAGATGAACTTCTTGCTTGGGAGTTGCCTTGAGGGAAAGCATTGGACTCGCAAGTTGCTTTTTGTGTGTTGGTTATGTTTTCCTCCTGGAATGGGTGATTCAGGGGGGAGGTCAGCATGGAGGAGTAGCTCAGAATGGACTTGGAAGGTTTTGTGAGTGGCAGGGCTAAAGGAGAACTCAGGGGTCTTCTGGTCCAACCTGTTCGTTTATGAGAAAGTGTAAAGGAGGAGAAGGGGAGGTCAGGGACATGGCCAAGGGTACAGAGCAAGTAAGTACCTGAAGCAGGCCCTGAGCCCAGGTTTCTCTTGCTGGACACCCTAGTTGGCTTATATGTTGACAACTCTCCTTTGACATCCACCCTTCACAGGCAGAAGATCCCTCAGGAAGCACTGCCAAGAAGCAGCTTCCTGCCTAATGTGGGATTTCTGTAGGTTGCCCACAGAGTTACCAGGGTGGGTCAGAGCAAATATCACCCCTTTCCTGAATGGGATTTTTCCCTTTCTAAAATGGGAGGGGAGGGAGTGGATGGTCTCCAGTGGCTTCACTCCCAGCCCTACTTGAATGTATTCCTGGAAGTTGGATGTAAAAGCTTAGGCAAAGTCCCTCTTTCCTGCCCTCAGAAAACACCCAGTCTACTGTGGGAAGAGAGGAGTGTCTTCGATATGGGAATTGTTAGAGGTTGGGCAAAGGAGGAAAAGCTAGGTGACAGGGGGATCTGGAACAAGTTGCTGCCCTTGGGCTTTCAAAGACGGGAAAGAGGTTGGAAGGTGATCACATAGCAAAGGTATCAATTTCGGACAGAAGAAAGGGAGCAATGTGGGTTAAATGAGGGTCCTGGCGGAGACAGGGTGAGCACAGGAACCTGCACAACACCTTGACCAAAGCTCATGTGGCCTTTCTTTTATCAGCTTTAGCAGGTCTATCAGATTTTACTCAGGAAAATGGGTTCTGACTAGCTTATTGAGATCATTCTCAAGGACAGCTGTAAGATCATCTCCAAGATGCTAAACGTCTGAAGGGGGACAAGATGGGGCAAGTAACTAAATCAAATTGCCTGTAGAAATGATGCCACAAACACAGGAGTTCAGGAGTCCTGGAATGCTTTATGAAAAGGCTCAGTGGCTGGTCCCACACCAGTGACAATGAGAGAAAAGAAAGCAGAGCTAAAAGAAATGTGGTTTACAATACCAACTCCTCCAAGCGAAACTGTTCTGCTTTCTTACTCATGATTGAAAAGGGGATGTGTTTTGAAGAAAGGGCTAAGGATCTCTCTCCCTCTCTGTCTCTGTCTCCATCCCAGTCTCTCTCACACACACCCACACACAGACACACACGCACACACACACACACACACAAACAGGGACAGGGCACACTCCCCCTGAATGGAATCGTTTCATATGGAATTTAGACTGAGAGAAGTCATTTGCAATTGGGAGGTGAAGAAAGGGTGCTCTATACTGTTGTGCCCAACCGTTCACTTACTTTCTAAGGAGAGAGGTGGGATACCATAGGCAAAACAGCTTTGGAATATAAACTCATTTGGCAAATCTCATGGAAAAAGTGGGTGAAAAATAAGGGCTTTCTTGTGGATGGGTATTCATATACTCTCAATGTTGACACATATGTGTACTCACCTATTCTGTATACTCATATATTTATACTGATATTTTCTATCTAGATTCTCGTATGCGAATACTCCAGTATTATCCAAGTCTCTTCATACAGTAATAGTCATATATCCTTTCTTTAGATCCATACACACACATATGTACTCCTCTGTTCACTATTCACATATGTCAACAATCATAAATTGTGAAGATACATTCCCATTGATGTACTTCTCTATCTCTCAGTATTACGTCTGTTTATTCATACATCCTTCTCCATGTATTGACATAGAAGTGTGCATGTATTCTCTATTTTCACATAAATAAGGACTCACTTATTCTTTCTCTTTCTATATATATGAGTCCTCTTTTCTCTCTCCATGTCTATATGCTGTTATAGGAATCATCATATTCTTTCTCAACATATAGGAGTCCACATCTTCTCCCACAGGGAAATGGTGGGGTACTTGTTAATGTATAAA